CTGCGCCCGGCACCCCGCGCGGGTGGCAGGCAGGAGCCCGGGGCTTCGCCGCCTCCGTGGGAGGCTCGCCCCAGGCCACCCCTCTCCTAGCGTAGGGGTCTATAAACGTAGGCGTCAGGTGCACCTCTTCGACCCCTTCCCTCCTGTAGCCCCCTTGTCTTGCCTGCTCCCACCACTTCGCCCACACTCGCTCCCTGCGTGAGACCCACTCCCAGCTCGCGCCAGTGGCACTCGGCCTACCGGAGCCAAGCTGAGGGTCGGGGCGGTCCATAAGCCTTCCCACGCCCACTGGCCACCCAGCAGGGACCCCAACCCTTCCTCCAGGTCCCAGCAGGCAAGGCCACTTGGCCAAGGGCGTAAAGCCAAGGAAGTGCACAGGTGGCCTGGAAGGGGGCTCCACGCCGTCCCAGCGCCCACTCGCCCACACTCCCTCTTCACCCCAAGACCTGAACCAAACTCTGTCCAGTGGGACCCCTTCCAGGGCTGCTTCAGTCTGACAGTGGCAGGGGGAGAGGGAGAGGAAGGGGCAGGCAGTTGGCTCAGCCCACCAACCCCAGGTTCTTCTGAGGGTCAGCTGAGGTGAAGGGCGGGCGTGACAAAGCTGCTAGCTCTGCCAGTCTGGGTGCCATCAGTGGAATGAGGGGGTCCAAGGGGAAGCTGTCAGCTCCATCTCACACACTCTCACACACACACACACACACACACATCAAGTCCTAATGCAATTTGTCCATGACTTTATTTGCCTGCAGCCCCTTCCTCCAACCCCCAGCGTTGTCATAGCAGGTAGAATGGAGGTCAGCAGGCAAGTTCAACTCCTGCCTGGCCGCCTAGGGCAGTCAGGCTGAGGGAACAAAAGGTGCAAAAGTCCAAACTCTGGCACTTCCGGTGTGGCCAGCACCCAGCCAGGCCTGGCGGAGTCAGGTGCCAGGGTCCTCTTCTGGCTGCAGGTCCGCCGGAGCCAGGCGGCTCTTTAAGCAGCGCTTCTCCCCAGGCTATGGCTAAGAGCAGCTGGTGATTCTAGCCAGGAACTGCTGGGCCCACCACTCATCCAGGTCGATGGGTACGAAGTCTGGGGTGGGGGAGACAGGGTGATGAAGCAGTCAGTGCCTTCCCCCAGGGCTGGCCCCCCAGCTGCCCCGGGGTGTGGCAGCTCCTGGGAGACATACCCCACAGCAGGGAGGCAGGGCAGGGTACACTCACTCTGTAGCCGGGGGTTAGGGGTCCTCTCTTCGTACTGCACGGGCCTCAGGCCTCCCTCGCAGGCTGGGCTCCCATCCAGCTGGCGTTCCACACGCTGCCAGGCTGTGGGGAGGGAGCAGTCAAGGAGGGGCAGTCTCTTGCCACTCCCATGCCCGCCCCAGGGCCTGGTGGCCACCCTGGACTCCAGCCCGGCACAGGGAGTGGGCATAGGACCAGCAGGCGGACAGCCAAGGAGAAACCCAATCCTCTGGCTTGGGGAGTTGGACTGCGGTGGGGACAGGACCTGGTAGCCCAGGAGCAGGCCTGGCCCCTCTACCTTCGGACACAAAGCGGACGTTCTCCTCATGGGCTAGTGTGTAGGTCTCCTGGGCCCCTTCGAGGGATGGGGACGTGGCAAGGGGACGTCGGCCATTCACCCGGTTGAACACCAGCCTGGGCCCTGAGCTGTAGGAGGAGAAGTTGGTGTGGGACATTCCCCACCCCCTTAGCCAGTGGGGCCTAGTGGGGCTCTGGGCAGTCTCTTGCTATGCCCTTGGCCCAGCCTGGGTGCTGTCCTGAACTTCAGAGCAGCCCCTGCAACCTGCTCAGACCCCTGTCAGCCACCCCATGCCCCATGCCCCAGGTCCCCCAGTTGGCCCAGTCTCACGCACGGCTCCAGGCGCGCCAGTGGCCTTCTCTGCCCAGGGGTCTCCTGGCACCCACACAGCCACCTGCTGTCCACCCCATTGACCACTGGTCTTCCAGCAAGCCAGGACCCCGCCCTGGTCCTCTACCCCACCCGCTGGGCCCCCTCATCCCTGCCTCAGCTCACCCCCAGGCCCAGCGGGGACAAGCACCAAACAGCACCTCAGATGCTGAGTTGGGGTCCCTGGAGAAAAGGCGGGGGGACGTGGACGCTGGCGGAACGCCGAGAGGCAGTGGCACTGGGGTGTGGGGACATGACACCCAGGAGGCTGCAGACCCTTCCTGGCCAGCTGACAGCCACTCCTGCACAGCGAGCCTGGGATGTAAGGGCCCTATGGGGCACGGGGGCACCTACAGCAGGAGGCGGGAGCAGGGCTCCGGGGCTGCGCGCTCCGCCAGGCCCTCGAGGTCCCCCATCGCTGGCTCGCCTTCCTGTTTCCCGGGCTCAGGTCCCCCATCGCTGGGCGACTGCACACTGCTCTGGGTTCCTCCTCAGGAGAGAGGGGCACTAAAACAGAGAGGAGCATCTTGAGGGGCCCCGGGGCCGGCAGGGGTTCTGCTGGCGCCGACACAGGGCTGCTATTGCCTGCCTGAGCTTCTGCACCAAGGGCCGGTGGGTCGGGAAGGCTGGACACAGTTGGGAAGCAGGATCACACCAGGAAGCTGGGGCTTCCAGGGGCTGTGAAGGAGGTGGGGGCTGCAGGGGCCGAGAGGGGCCCCAGCAGGTGATGTCTGAGCATCCCTGCCCACCTCAGTGCCCCAGGCCTTGGTTAGGTTAGGTAAGGTTGTTCTGGTGGGGCTCTATGGGGGAGCGGGCACAGGGTCTCCCTACGTTCTCTTGGGATCACTTCAGTACCCCCAGCAGGCCCACTCACTCCTGTCAGCCCAGCCACCTAGCTAGAGAGGAAGGGGGCTTGCCCCAGCCTATCTCCCTTATGCCAGGGGCTCTGCTAGCCTTCCTGAGAGACCCTCGTCTGTCCCCAGCCCTCCATTATACCCCCATCTCTCACTCTCTCCCACCTTGGGGAGGGAGACCTTAACGACAGACACAGCTGTCCTGCCTGCCATCTCCCATCTCAGTCCAGCACCCGTCCAGGCCTCCAGTGTAGCACAGCCCTCCAACCACCCCCACCCAGGTCTAAGGCAGAGCTAGTAGGGTGTGGCCATGTGCCCCCTGGGGCCAAGCGAGGGTGGAGGAGCAGCCCTTGGGATGGCCCCAGAGTGGCTGGTCTGCACCCGGTGGCAGCCGCTGATGTCCAGGATGGTCTGGCCACGGGGACCCAGGGCACCTGTATTTCCCATCAGACCCCTCTCCTGGCAGGGGACCCAGAAAGGGAAAGTAGGTCTCCCAAGACACAGGACAGTAGGGGGCCAATACCATTGAGTAAAATCCACCTCACGGGCACCCTATAGGGACTAGGCAAAGCCTGAAGAGGCAGGCCCTTTCTGCTCCCTCCCTCAGTGAGCTGAGTCCCAGGCCTGGGTGACCTTGTGCCTTCATGTCCTCCCCAGGGGGTGGAGTGGCTATATGCACAGCCAGGTATGCACAGTCTGGCCTTGGAAATGCTGGTCTGGGCCCACTGGTCCTCCAGAGAAGGTCAGTGCATGCACACACACACACCACCCCCCGCAGCCTGGTCTCCTCATGAGAATCTAGCACCAAATGACAACCAGCCAGGAGGCCTGAGAGCAGGTTGCACCACTAGCCTCTGATATCTTAGGGCGACTGAGGATTGAGGCCCTGGGCAACCTCTAGTGACGGCTGTCTATCTGTCCTAGATGTCCCTCACTGTACTTACCCCCACAGCCCCTCACCCCCCACCTACCCATCTTCACCCTTGCCTCAGCTGGCACCTAGAGGCTGCCTGTCTGGAGCTGGCCTGCCTGCAAGCTACCAGCTTCACCCCACTTCCCCAGGGGCTGGAAACCCAGGCCCAGCAGGCCCAGGCCACGTGGAGAATAGAGACCCCAGGATTAGCCAAGGAAGGAAAAGGTTTGGCCAGCCTGGGTCTGACCCCAGGCCGCGGTCACGAGGAGGCCAACCCCGTGAGAACTATACCTTCGGTGAGCACACCCTAACTGCAGGGTGTATGGGGTGAAGGGCTGTGTGGGCAGTACTTGGCAGTCAAGGAAGCAACCAAGTGCAGCCCTCCTCTGCCCTCAAGGACAGCGGGCAGTCAGGAGACCTTGATGGCTAGGGCCTTAGGTGACCAGCTGCCCCTGGCCAGGGCCTTGGGCAACTAGCCTCAAGCCCTGGGCACAGCCTGCTCTGAAGGGGTGCAGCCAGTCAAGTGCCCAGCTGGCCCAAGGTCGTGGGGGGAGTGTCTCTCTGGGCTGAGTGCTGTCACTCCGGGGCCCTCATACAGGTGGGCTTTCTGACCAAGGTGCCCAGGCGGCCCTAGGCTGGTGGAGACAGGGCAGGGGCGTGGTCGGCGTGCCCCGCCCCTCCGCGCTAGTGTGCCCAATGCCATGTGGTTGGGTCTCCGGTAACCTTTCCCCAAGGTCACCCTCCTGGCCACCCAGCGGGGAGGGGCGCGAGGCTTACCTGGACAGGGGCCAGGGGCCCGGGGGCTGCGCCCGCGGAGGCGGTGGCGTCGGCGGGGCGGGCTGCCGGCATTTCAGGAACTCGCCGAGCCTGCCCTCCACTTGCTGCTGCGGAGGGCCTGCGGGGGGCAAAGAACGCGTTAGCCTCGGGGACCGGGTCCCCAGCGCGCAGCCCGCGGGACGCCAGATCCCGCGACACCCCCAGCCCAGCCCGTGCGCACCTGAGCGGCGCTGCGCCACCAGCTTGCTGGGTCCCATGGTGATCGTGTACATGGCGCGCCCGGCTCCCGCGCGGAGGGGCCGCGCCCCCGGGCCGCCCACGCGCTCGCTCCGACGCACGCCTGACTCCCTGCGCGCCGGCCCGCCGCCAGCCTCCCGCGCCCTCCCGGGGCTGCTCCTGGCCGGCTCCTAGGGCGCGGCCCCTTTAAACGGCGGCTGGGCGGGAGGGCGGGCACTCTACACGCCCCCGGTCCTTAAAGGCCCCGCGCCGGGTCGGACCGCCGGAGGCGCTCAGGCGGGGAGGGGCGGTGGGGCCCGCAGCCTGCAGCCACCAGGGCTCCCGCTGGCTGCATGGGACCCAGTGTCGCTGCAGGTGGACCGGCGGCGTGTGGCCGGGCGCTACCACAGTGCACGGACTCGGGGGCCTGGTCAGTGGGTGCAGCCCAGAAATTGTAGGCGGGTCACAGTGACCCCGCATGGGAGAGGCGTGGGCAGCGTCTGCCAGCTCCTATCTGGAGAGCCCTAGCCAGTGCGCCTGCACCAGTGAGAAGGACGCCCTTGACCTGGGTCTCAAAACTATGGAAAAGAAAGAGGGTCAGGCCCAGGGCTGGGGCAGCGAATTGGTGTCCAATCAGGCTCTCTTCAACCCCTACTCCAAGGAGATGCACCCACAAACTCCAGGGAGGGGCTAGGCGAGGCCACTGACTGGTCGGAGGTCTGGGGTATCCTGGGAGACAGAGACATGGAACGGCGGGCCACTCTGCCACCAGCATGTGGAAACTGAGTCTCAGGACCAGGAAGAAGGCCTGCCTGGACCAGGGGGCAGTGGAGGAGAGTGGGTGCCCAGGGTGGCCACTGCCACCCATCAATCCAGGGCTCCACCCCTCAATCCCTCCAAGCTCCTCTCCACAGAGAAGACCTGCTAGACAGGGCAGTAGAGGAGCCAGGCTCTGGGCAGCCTGGCCCAGCTGGCACCCCACTTGCCATTCTTTTGTGTCCCTCAGACTAAAGTGGGGAGCCCCTTCACCATTTGAGAAGCCAAACGTAGAACCTACTTGCCCGGGCTTGTGGCAGTCCTCAGGCTCCTACCATCAGAGAGAAAATATTTGAGGAGGCTGGGGAGCAGCACCTCAGGTACCTCCCTGTCTGGAAGTCAGGCTGGCTGCCTGTGGATTTCCAGAGCACTTGGGGAACAGGGGGCCAGGGAGGCTCAGCCTTTGGGGTAGTGGCAGCATTGGGTCTTTCAGGGATCAGATTAGGGGTGAGTCATGGGAAGGGGTGACCATTGTGATTCCCCAACCTGCCTTCCTGACCTCCCCTCATGATTGGGTACATATGTGAGACTGCATATGCCCTCAGGGACCCTCAGGGGATTATGAAAACTTTGGTTTGGAGGTGGGATGTTCTCAGGTCTGCCCTTCCTCTCTATGTGCCCAGGCCCCTCTAACTAGGCTGAAGGGTGAAGGGTCCTGACTGTCCCCCAGCTGCCTCTTCATAGGGAAGGCAGAGCCTATAACAGAGTCAGGGCAATGACCTTGAGACCAGCACTTGCTCAGGGAACCTAAGCCTGCCCCAACTAGAAGACCTTCATCCGCCAGGCTGACCCACTCCCCCGAATACCTGCCCTCCCTGCTGCTGACGTCACTACACTATGTCCTTCAAAGCCAGCTTTCTGCCAGTCATCCGCCCAGCCAGCCCGGCTCATCCCGGTTGGCCTTGTGTAGGCAGAGCCGCCTGTGACCATCCCCCCCTGTTCAGTCACTCACTGTCACCAGGGAAATGGAGGCCAAAGGCACACCTGCTCCCCAAGGAGGCAAGTGTCATCACCCAAAGGATCGGGGTGGAGGGACAGGGTGCAGGGGAGGCTGTGGCCTGAGGGTGAAGGTGGGGGTTCAGGGGAACAGCCCAGAACAAGGCGTCCTTGCCCTACTCTCCAGAGATGACACACTGCTTCAGCACTATCGGGCACTGCCAGGTCCAGGGTGTGGACAAGGCCTGCCTGTGCTTTGGGACCCTGAGGTCAAAGGTTGAGTCCAGAGAGCCCCCAAGGATATACCAGGGGAACAGCAGGCCAGAGGGGGAAGGTGACAGTCTAGCAGGAGGGAATGGGGATCCCAGAGAGAAGCTAGAGCCATGGCTGAGGAGGGCTGGAGAGACAGCCCCCCTTCCACTTGACCAGGGCCCTGGGTCTGCCTTCCAGCACCACAGACCCTGGGGGACGCCCATCATGGCGTCTTTCCTGGAGAGCCATCACCAGAGGCAAGGATGAGTGACCAACAGGATTCTCCGTCATCAGAGAGGTAGGTTAGGACCTCCTCTGTCCCACGCCCCTAAACACAGCAGCTAGGACAGCAGGGAAGAGGGTTCTCACATCATCACAATAGTGTTCTCTTGGAAAAGCATCTAAACTCAGGGTTAAAGTTGATTTATCAATATGCCATTGTCATTTAACTTTTTTGTGTACAAATAGTTTTATTTGCATATACTTCGCTATCATACAATGTAACTGTTCGATCATATTGAGGATTGTTGAGCAACCTGTCCCCACAGCCCAGTTCAGAACAATGTTCTCCCCATTTCCCCACGTCCTCCTCCCCTGCCGGGCCCTATCCAGGTGCTGTCTCTATGGGCCTACCTGCCCTGGATTTCATGGACAGAGAATCATGGACAGACAAATCACGAAACACCAACAAAAACTCAATAACAGTAACTAGACAAAACATAAAAACACCTCAGTCAAAGAGAAAGCTGAAACAACTTTATGTCAAAGGGGAGATGAAATGATGGGGTATTACATTCTAAGCTAACCATCTGTCATAATCGACTTTACAAGGCTCTCTGACAGCAGGCTGTTCACATCTACGGTCAGAGGGGATTCACTGGAGACTTAATCCATGTGGGGACCTTGTCTGGGGAACAGAACTGGGAAGAGAGTGTATGCAGGCAAACTCTCAACATGCAAACGTTAAGGAGTCTGGGAGGCCGGTTCATAGGTTGGAAATGCGTCCCACTCACATTCTCCTAAGTAAAAGTTATTTCCCACGATATCCCCCGTAATACCAAATTTTTTTTAATGTTTTATACATTTTTATTCCTGTTTATAATAGCTTGGATTTAATTTTTAAAAACATTTTATTAGGGGCTCATACAACTGTTATCGCAATCCATACACATATCAATTGTGTAAAGCGCATTTGTATATCATTCTCAAAACATTTTCTCTCCACTTAAACCCCCGACATTAGGTCCTCATTTTTCCCCTCCCTCCCCGCTCCCTCCTCCCTCATGAGCCCTTGATAGTTTATAAATTGGTATTTTGTCATATCTTGCCTTGTCCGATGTCTCCCTTCACCCACTTTTCGGTTGTCTGTCCCCCAGGGAGGAGGTCACATATAGTTCCTTGTAATCGGTTCCCTCTTTCCTACCCATTCTCCCTTTACCCTCCCTGTACCAAATTTGAGGTGCTGTTTGCAAACACATGGTCACTGACTATACACTTGGAGGTCACTGCTTGAAAGTTATCTGCCTGAAGGTTGTCAGCCATCTAAGACAATCAGACCCTACAGTCTGTCCCACCTTCAGTAGGGCCCACTCCCTTCTGATAAGGACCATAGATTGTTCCCCAGGAGAAGATCTCAGACACCTAAGGTCAAGCCAACCCAGATGACCAAGGTTAGGCTGCCCTCTTGACTCTAGACCCACCCATCATGCTATGTTTGTGCCTTCCTGTCATGTGTATGCCTCTGGTGCCTCCCCTTCCTATTACGAGAATACCCATAGCTCATCCCCCTCATGTTACGTGTATATCTCTTGTGCAACCCCTTCCTGTTACCCTGTATGCCCGAGATTATATAAATTTGTGAGATTACATTAGCCTCTCTCTCTCTTCAGACCTGGCTCCTGAAGTCATGACTGAGGAGGCGAGCCCTTGCATGCTTTATCTTGTCTGATGTCTCTTTAATTTACTCCTCACTTATACAATAGCCCCTTGAGACTATTTGGTTGTGGGGAGGCTGGTCCCCCTCCACCTTGCAAATGGATTTTGGGCATCCACTGTCATCCATAGCCTTCTGCAAATTGAGTGTTCACAGATTAAGCTGATACCACTCTGATCCTTATTATTTACATGTACAGTCCTTGGATCACATAGGCTGGGGTACTTCTTCCATGTGGACTTAGTTGATGCCTCACTTAGATAGCTGTTTGTTTGAAGACCCCAAGGACTTAAGACCCCAAATACTATTATTTTCTGTAGCTGGGTACCATCTAGTTTCTTCATCACACTTTGCTATAGCGCCCATATCTTCAGTGATCGCTTCATGAGGGCGAGCATCGAGCAGGGGCTAGATTGGGGCTTAGAATTAAGTGTGAGCCTGAAATCCATTCATATATCTATGGTTTATATATGTCTCTGGTTCATTTTAGAGACATTTTAAGATAAAGAACTTTAAAATTATCCCTCTAGGGCAGCAGTTCTCAACCTGTGGGTCTTGACCCCTTTAGGGGCCAAGTGACCCATTCACAGGGGTCGTCCATTCCACAGTAGCAAAACTACAGTGATGAAGTAGCAACAAAAATCATTTTATGGTTGGGGGTCACCACAACATGAGGAACTGTATTAAAGGGAGGTTGAGAACCACTGCCCTAGGGCCTAAGGCAATGCTACTGTATTATCCTTAATTTAGCCAGTGGGATAGAATTTAAAACAAGAGTGAGATAAGGAAATTGTACAAGTATAGGCTAACTTCGGTCTGCAAGACAAACACAAAACTCCTTGACTTAGACAGATTAAACTATTAAGTGACTGGACGCTATTTACACAAACAATGGGGGTAGGTGATTAGGCCAAACTTTCAATAACACCCATTCACAAAGCCCGAACCATGCCCACAAGATGAATCATGTCATAGGAAAGTAAGGAGAGGGTTAAAATGTAAACATGTGGTAGTCCCAGGCCACCATTCACTGGGCACCCGCAAAGCAAAGGCTGCAAACCAAAGTCCAGGACCTGCCAACTCTAAAACCTTGAGCTAGCACCCACCTGCTGCGGCTCACACTAAGGCAGCGGTTCTCAACCTGTGGG